CCTATCTAGCTCTCTGCTGTGCCAGTTGATTTTGTGAATTAGTGGAGCTAGGACCGTTGAATTCATGTGGTATTGGTGACTCTATGTGGATTGTATTATGGACTTGTGTATCGAACAGGGTGCTCATGTGGAAAATGAAAAATGCAGTTTGTCCTCCATGTCAAAATCATCAAAATCTTAAACATGGGGTAAGCCCAACGTGTGCGGCACCGTTCATTGCACCAAATTGGGTTTTGGAAGAGATTTTAGTGATCCTTAGTGGGGTACTCCTACAAGGTGAAGCTAAGCTGTCTCTAGTACAAGTAAAACTTCCACCCGTTGAACGGTTTGCCTACTTGAGGATGTGTTTTTAAGGGCACGGATAGAGCTTCCGACCCCCCTTAATTTCATTGACCCTCCACACGAGTTGAGGAAAAGGAGTTAAAAGAAGTACTCTGGCGAGGGCCAGATGTACATAAATTGCTCTTGCTCGACTAATAAGGGTCGACCGTGCAAAAGAATGTAGTTGGAACCCCCGCTAAGTGAATGAAATGAAAAAAAAAAAGAAATAAAGTGAAAGTGAAAAAGGGGTTCCAACAGTGAAATGTAGTGAAAGAGCACCCCGGTACAACGAGTCCTTGGTCGTGAATGATATGAGTCCCTTTATCCATGAACTGACTGTCTTACTTCTACTTCTTCTCATTATCCTAGCTTGAGTCTAGTACTCGCATTGAGAGAGATAGGGAACCTCTTAGAAGACCGGTTGACCTCGTAAGCTGCTATATGATCTAGGAAATCCTCTACCGACGATCGGGGTTGTTTGTTGCTATAGAGGTCTGGAGAGTTGCATTGGTTTGAGTTAGGTTTGCTTGGGGACAAGCAAACGGTTAAGTGTGGGGGAGTTTGATAGACCATTAATTACCCATGTTTTTACCCCTATTCTTTAGCCGTTTGAGACATTGATTCTCGTGTTTTAAGACGATTTCAGGCTAGGTTGTACGTTTATGTCATATTTCAGGGCTTAGCGTTGGCATCGAGGCGAAGGAACGAGATTTGGGTCGAAAGGAGCAAGTGAGGTTTGAAGTGTGCTGGAGAACAAAAATACCCGGCCATGATCAGAAATACCCGGCCGGGTATTATTTGGCGATGACCGGGGATCTGAAGCTTTGGCGTCTTTGAGAAACAGAGAGGGGCCTGGGCAGGAGGCAAAAATCCCCGGTCGGGGATTCTTGGCCATGACCGGGGATTTTCCCCTGTCACCCGACGGTGCATTTTTCACATACCCGGTCGCCACCCAAAATACCCGACTGGGTATTTAGACCGGGGATTGCGACAGACAGCTTCTTAAGGGAAAAGAAGGCTAAAAATCAAGAGTTCCGAGTTTTAGAGAAAGAAAGCGATTCCTAGAGAAAGAGAGCGACAGACTAGAGTTCCCAAGTGCCCTAGCTTGATCTTCTTCACCATTGGAGCCCGACTTGAGCTTGGAGAAGTGCTGATTGACGACCAGGAGCACATTCTCATCCTTCACAGCATGATTTCTGCATCTGAACCTGCTTTTGCTTCTCTCTCCATGGAGTAGTTTTCCCATTCATTTGGGTATGGAGAACCCTAGATTTGTGTGTTAGGTCTGATTGTATGAACCCAAGTACAGATTTTATGATTTGATTATATTCAATTGAGGCTTGAATGATTGAATGACTTGAATCCTGATAAAATTCCTGTTATTTCTGCTTTAGCCTAGAAAGAGAATATCTGCCTAGGTTGATAGAGTACCCTTAATTGAAGGTAGTGAATTGGCGACTTTAGTCGAGGAGCCAATTCACTATTCTGTACCGAATTTACTTCGGTAGTGGAGGTTTGGTTCGTTAGGGCCTCAATCTGTTTACTCCGGTGGAGGTTAGTCGCCTGCTGGGGACTCAGATTGAGAGGGTTTGGAGACCTTTAGTCAAGACTTCAGACTGTTTAAGAACCTCCCGCAGTATAACTATCATTAAAACTGAACTTGGTAAATTACAATCCGGCTTAACTGCAGTCTAGGGGGAAACCATATTCGGGTGACCTCTCTCGACTTGAAACAACCGTTTAATTGCTTTGCTTGTTTGCTTTATTGAACGTGCACTAAAGTTTCACTGCTAGATAATAAGAATTCACTGAGTAGTCATCACATCTAGGACCCGGGTTGACAATAAAACCCAAACCCGCTATACTATGCTCTAGGAAGTGGTTACACTTGGCCATTTTCTAGGGTGACAGTAGGAGTGAGTCAGAAGAAAATGAGCAAAGACTGGGCAAAGAGGAGGATTCAGCCTGTGTTCACGGTCCAACATAGGAGTTCATGATTGCCAAGACTGTGAACTGGAACCACAACCGGTGAACCGCGAAGCGTGCAGAGGAACATGAACCACAAAACATGAACCACAGAAGTGGAGCACTGTGTTTTGGGTCAGTTCACTCTGTTCACGGACGCATCTTGATGTTCACGGCCGTGAACTGGGCACTATCTCAGCATAAAGAGTGAGCTGAAAGGAAAAAGAAGGGGGAGTAAAAAATGAGAGAAACCTTCTTCTTCTTGAAACTCTAGAGAGAGAAAGTCACGAACCAAGAGGGATAATAGGCTAGTGTTTACTCCAAGTGAAGATTTTGGAAGCTCCTCTTCTTTAGAGGATCTCTACAAGCACAAGGAGAGTTGAAAGCATCTCAATGATGGTTTCTTTCTTTCTCTTTTGTGTTCTTCCTTTGTCTAGCATGGAGTAGTTTCCTGAGTAGTTTCCCGTTTCACTTGAGTGTTGTAGAACCCTTACTACTATCATGTAATTGATTGTGTGGATTGAATGATTGTGTGATGGTGGTGTTTAATTTAAGCATTGAGGTATTTTTCATGGTGATTGTGCATATTGTTTGTTTGACAATCTATTGTGCTACTCTAACCTAGATTAGAGAGAAGCCCCCTTATCTAATTAAGAGGCACAAAATTGAGTTGGGCTTTCTTAGGCATTCCAAGCCTCCTAACTAGGTTAATGAATGGCAATCCTCTACTTGAATTAGACACCTAGGTTAATTGTGATTATGCCGTCCCAGCCTTGGTTTGACGGAGAAGCTAAGTCAACCCTCAATTGCTTGGGCCAAGAGGGTTACAATTGTAGCCTCTAATTCTTACCTTGGCCTAGCAATTGAGAGGATGGTTTCTAACCATTGGTGCACCTCCTACGGGCCACAATTGCCTCGTCACACACCGGTTCATTCGATCACACTGTTCATGGTAGTTAGTTAGGGGGAAGCAACACCCGAGTGAAGCTTCTCACCAAGAGTTTTCCATTCTTTTACTTTTCAAAGTCTTGTTTTCAAATAGGAGATTATAGAGATTTCAACAAACAACAATCCACTAGATAATGTTTCAAACAATCGAAGTAGCGGTACATGGGCCGAGTCGGGTTGATATTCAAACATACTTGCCCTATATTGCACCCGTCTAAGTTTTATACTTGGGTCTTAGGTGAGATTTTATTGTGATAGTCGGAGAGAGTCACGAATCCCCTCCTTAATTATATAGTCAATAACCAGGCATAACCTGCTACATCAGCGTCATATCATCATTAATAGAAGGTTTAAATTTTTAATCGTGTTCCTTTAAATTTTAACAACTATATCTCCTTCGTTTTTAGCCGGATTTTTTATAATAAAAGTTCAAAATGGTCCTCTAACTTTTATAATAATAAAAACTTAACACATAACTCAACTCTATCTCCCAAATTAGAGTGTGAAGGTCACAAACTCTCTGCTTGGACAACAAGTGAAGTTGATTCGTCCCCAAAGCCTTCATGATCATGTCTTTCAATTGCAAGGTCGCCCCAATCTCCCTTGAAGCTACTCGTTCACAAACAAAGTGACAGTTAAAGTGAAACTGCCAAATTATCGCAAAAAACTGGTGCAAGACTTATTTTGCGGTGTGTGCATTTTAGGTAGATAGGAATGTAGTCAAAATCTCAAATTTATGTAGAAGTATTTTGGTGGCTTAAAAGTATAAACGATCAATTATTACAAGGTAAACAAAAATTCAATCATTTTCATAGATAGCAATGCTGCCAAATTTCTTTGTACTTCTGTAAAATCCTTCCAATCGTTACAATGTAAAAAAAAATCAATAAAAAATAAGCCACAAACAAGAAAAGGATCAGTCGGATTAGACGAGTTAGATTGCACTTGGTGCTACTTTGTTTGATTTTGTTGCAAGAGAGCTTTCTGTGCTTACAAGATTTTGATATCGTGTTTTAGAACCATTATTGATGTTGGTTCATTCTATGTTTATGTTTTTTTTCGGTAATTATTGTAGTCCTATTATTAAGCTCAAGTTGTTGAAAACAAACAATCTCGAAAAATACATCCATGCATTTTACGGTACCGATTACAAAATGCAAAAGAGAAACCGTTATACACAGGGCTGTCCATTTGGTTCTAACCGAAACCAAACCAATTGGAAAGCTAATGGTTTCAATTTTTTGGTTTTAAATCAATAAGCAACTTAATGGTTTTGGTTTGGTTAAAACCGAAAAACCAATAGAAACCATTAAGAAACCAATAAGAATAAAATTATTTATCAACAAATACTTTTTTGTTTCTTTTGACACAAATGCCAACCAATAATTTGTAATGGCCATTTACCATTATTATGACGTTTATTCAATAAAAAGGAGGGAAATAGGAATAAATATGAGTGTATGAGTACATGTTGGTTTTTTTTATTTTGGTTTTTCATACTTGATGGTTTGGTTAACCAAATCAAAGCAAATTGAGCCCTAGTTATACACATCTATCTACTTATTTAGTGTCCGCACAACAAAATATGTTTATGTTCCCCTTATTGAATTCCTAAAGCACGGATTGGCCAACCGAATGGTTGAGGATGTCCACTCTGGATCTATTGCTGATTTTTTTCATTGATTTTCTTGTAATCATTGTGCAGATTCACTCCCAAATCCACAAGAAACCACACACACAGGGTTCTTGGATTCTTCTTTACTTTGACAAGATTTCAAATTTTATCCGCATGAAACCAGAAATAAATATGTTCTCTGAATCCACTACTTAACGCTCTGGCCCCCCTTTTGTTCCATCTTCTTTCTTGTTCATTCATTATTTACTTTGTTGAAGCGCTGCAGATTCTGATTTTGGGCGGTTGAGGCAAGGGTAACTCCGGTGGTTCCTTTTAAGCATCCCTTCCATCACGACCCTCTGTTTTTTGTACTCTCTCGACACCCTGTTTTCCTCCCGAGACGTTCTTGCCTCTCCCGCCAGCGGATCAAAGACACGTAGTAGGTCTTGCCGCCGGCGAGGGAGGGAGTACAGACAAATTAGAGTCAACGCCACGCCTAAGAACTTGCCTCCTAATATAGTCACCCCCAGACTGACCAGCAGCAGCAAACATGCGGTCAAACTTCCAAATTGTTTCTGGTTGGGATTGGGACTCTGTTCGGATTGCCGGGTTTTCACCCTTCTCGCTACCGACGAAGATTGTGACGGGGTTTCGGAGTCTGATCCTGAACACAAATTCGGAAGCGATGCGGAAGACGCCAGCGAAGATGATGAAGATGAAGAAGAAGAAGACATTGCTTCCCATCTGCCTTCGAATACCTTTCGGATCGAGTTGCACTGTTCCTTATCCATCGAGTTCATCCGGATCAACGAAGAACCACGGTTGGATTCGTCAGCGACCCGGTTCCACGATTTTGTATTGTTAGCTCGCTTCGACTGAAGTAATAAGAGAGTGAAAGAAAAAACAGAGGTCAGGCGAACAGATGTTAAGAGGAAGCAATAGTTCGGTTGGGCTTATTGAGGGGAAAACTAACCAATACGGAATCGAATAGAGCAGCCTTGATCGCACGAGAAAATCTCTTGCTTCGATGATGATTCGGAGGCTGCGCAGCAACAACCTCCTCCATCGCCGAACTTACAGAGCGCCGGTCGCCGACGAAGGCAGAGTAATCGGAAACAGAGCGATCCAGAGTTCCCTTCTTTCCAAACGAATCAGAGAATTCATCGCTCCCCGCCGCGGAAATTAGAAAGGCCTGACTGTCAGACTGATTAATCGAGAGAAGGGCGGCGGATTTGGACTTGTGGAGACCAAACCCATCGTCCAGAATACAATCTTCCATTTCCACGACCGGCCGGAAGCACATCAGGAACTTTTGCCTGGAGCCGCTCCTCTTCATGTTTTTTGACGGGCTAAAAAGGAAGATGGGCGGTTTTGATGGAGAAAACTGAACCGCTAGCTGGATGAAAAACGAATAGCCGCTGTAGGGATTAATGGAATAAAGACGGGAACCAAACAGGGGGTATCGCTGATTGCGTAGAACGAGGAGACATGGACGGAGAAGGCGAAGAGAAGAAGGGTGTGTTGTGTGTTGTCTTTGGCGGGCGGTTTCTGTGGGAAAGAGAGGGAAACAGAAGGGAAAGACCGAAGGAGAAGACACAGAGAGAGAGAGAGACGGCTGTGATTGGATTCTGATTTGGGAATCGACTCTGGGTTTCGATTTGAAGAGGTCAGATCAGATAGATGCAATTGCAAGTGATATATACTTTTTTTTTCGTTCTCCTTATTCGACTTTTAAAACTTTGCAACCCACGACTGTGCTCAAGACAGGCTAAGTAACGTTAGGGTGAGTAACAATGAGTAACCAAATCTGGATCCTTTTTTTAAGAGCATCTCCATTGGAATTGCAATTAGAATTGCATTATGACATGGCATTCAATTGCAATTACATTATGCAATTGCATTGATGTAGATGACAATTGCATCTTTGCAAGCTTGCATATAATGCAATTATGGAATGCAAGCCACATCATCTTTTTTATTATTAAATTATTCATTAATTTTATTATTTGAGTGTTTATGTTTTAATAAATTAAATCAAAAAAATTAGTTGCAATTGCAACTTAATTGCATTGATGTGATGCAATGCAAGTAAGATGAGTTGGATTGCAAAAAAATAAAGTAACAATAAAAAAAAATGCAATTGCAAATACCATTGCACCAATGGAGATGCTCTAATGCAATTATGAGATGCAAGCCATGTCATTTTTTTTATTATTAAATTATTCATTAATTTGTTATTTGAGTGTTTATGTTTTATTAAACTAAATTAAAAAAATTAATTGCAATTGCAAGGCAATTGCATTGATGTAGTGCAATGAAAGTAATATGAGTTGGCTTGCAAAAATGGTGTTGTGTAAAAATAAACACAAATGCAATAGCTAATGAAATTGCACCAATGGAGATGCTCTAAGTGACTGCAGATCGAAGGGTGGAGAATTAAAGGAATTTATTTTCCCTAGTTTTCTTAATTGGATCATATCTTCTTCATTCTAACTCAGATTTCAATTATTTTGCACAGATGGAATGAGTTCGTTGTGCTCTACAAAATGATATCCATTTTCAATATTTTTTGAGAAAAAAAATTTCATCCATCTCGTTACCAACTCCATACCATATGGTATCTCCTTCGTTGTTTAGTCATTTTCGGAAATATTTGCACAAAAGGAACGATTTAATCCTGATCTATTGGATTTCAAAATTTTCTGGGGGAAAAAATTTCAAACCTCTCGTTACCAACTCCATACCATACCATACTATACCACCCTGGTATGAGGTGGTATTTTTCATACCATATGGTATGCTGTTATTTAATACCATGTGGTATTGACTGGTATTAAATAACAGCATATGGTATTGACTGGTATTTTCATACCATATGATATGCTGTTATTTAATACCAGTCAATACCATATGGTATTAGTACCATATGGTATTAGTCAATACCATATGGTATAGATTGGTAATAATTGGCAAATTTTTTTTGTTCCAAAAAATATCAAAGTGGATATCATTTTGAAGAGCACAATTAATCTGATCTAACTGTGCAAAAAAAAAATTAAATTCCGAGTTAAAACGAGTTAGAAATCGTCCGTTAAAGATTAAGGGAAAGAAAATTAATGATTTTTCCAGCAGAGAGAAAGAGGCGCTGATGTGGCAGATTCTTATTGGGTTATGCATGAGGTTACTCACCGCAAGATTACTCACCGTATCTGCTCCCCTTCGTGTTCAACTTAAAAGTGTTTTCATTTTCTACAAAGGAAAATCCTTACTGAATGGCTAAACATTGGGTCCTGCTCGGAGATGTTCGGCTTCTTTTTTGGTTTTGCCTAACGAAGCATCACCAAGAAGTCATCCGCTCGGCTCAATCGGCGTTTGTTCCCGGTGGATGATACTAACAGCGGAGGGGAAGGGATTATGAGAAGGTTCTAACAAGTGAAGTGCAGTTACATGAAATCAAAGAAGGAACCGCCTCTGTGCGGCTGCCGTTTCTGGCCTTTCTGCCATTGTGCGGTTTCTCTGCCGATTCCCTTCTCTATCTTTGTGGTGGGGTTTCGTCTGGCGCTACATCGGCGCGGTCGATTTCGGATCTCTAATCGGCTTCCCCGTCTCTGATTTACGTAAATCCTCCTCGTTTCCCTCGTCACACATCAACGGTCGGATGACATCATCGTCGCCATGAAATTCAACTGCTCACCGGCATGGTGCGGCATGTGAATTCAGTGGCAGGCAGAGAAGCGGACGGAGTAACGGCTTTGCCACGTAACCGATCGGTAAGTGGAGGTGTGGTTACAGGTACGTAAGTCAACCGTCTCCTATAGGTTAATAATAATATTTTTCATTTATTCTTTATGTTATTTATTCTCTTTTCGTTAATCCCAATTCTAATTATGTTTTAAATTCTTTCATAATCTTATTTCTCATAGGATTATGTATCTTTTACCCATTTAACTCTTTACGTTTTTCAAATTAGTTTTTATGTCCTCCATTTTTTACTAACTCCTCCATTTTTCTCCCTTATTTTATTATTAGTTGTTTTCAGTTATAATCCCAAACTCTTTTAGAAAACAAGGTTTGGTGCTCTGCGATTTTCTCCAATCTCGCTGCTTTCGCCTCCGTGCGACTGTTCGGTATCTTCTCCGACACGACTCCACTACAGGGATTCGCTCCATCGTTCTCCGACGACATCACAGCGAGCGGAGTAGTTCATAGAGCTTGTGGAGCATCTCTGGTAGATGTTTAATATGTTGGTACTTGAAATTTGTTTTGTTCCTTTAGGGGTCGTTTGTGTGTTCATCTTGCAGGTAGCTTGCACATCAATTCTACTGTTCGCCTATTGAAGCTTGACTTACAGGAGATATGAAGGTTCTAATCGGCAGATGAGTGCTTCAAGAAGTTTGTTGCAGGAAGACTTCCTTTGCGTTTTTTCATTTATTTATGGTTCTAAGCATACTAACAGGGCTGCCATTTGAGTGGTAAAAACGGCCCTTACATCGGTAGCTCAACACTAGGTTGACTACCGCTTTTACTTTCAACAATTGTAATTCCCTATCTATTTACGATCTATCTATGGACTATGACAAAAAAAAAAAACATCAGACCTAACTTTTCTATTATCGCACTATTTTAAAACAAAAAATTACTATATTATTCTTCACTAAAAAAAATAAATAAACAAACAAGCCCTACTTTTCTTTTTTTTTGACCAAAAGAAACACTTCTATCCACCCCCGGTCAGCCACATTAGACAACAATCCGACAACCATTCATCAGCTGAGCACTTCAAAGTTCAAACGGCCTTTCGCCACCGTAGCCTCCTCTCTTTTCCCCCACTGCGTTTTTAGTTTGAATAAAATACCCTCCATAACAATCACGCCTCCCTGCTGTTTGTGTCGCCTGAATCACCCCGCCATCTAATTCAAATCACAATCGCGTTGTTCCCTTCTCCCCATTGCCGGAATCAATACCCCTCCGTCTTCAATCCAAGATGCGTGTATCCCGTCTCCCTACAGTGATTATCATAACAATGACATTTATGAAGGCGGTCGACGGTGGGAATCAACAACGGTTGGCGCTGGCGGTGGGAATTAGTGGCCCTCGGGTGACGGTGGATAATGGCGACTAGGTAATGGAGTGTGGTTCGTGGATTAAGTTTATTTTTTTAAATAAAATATCTGTTAAAAATAAAACTGGAAGAAGCATAAAAAGATAAATTTGATATTTAAATCAGGGCGATATCGTGAGATTAGGGCCGCATTTAGCACCCCCAATCCTTATTGAACTATGAATGATAGGTTACAGAGAAAACAAAAGCATGCAAACTGAATCCAAAACAAGCGTACAAAGATGAAAGACACACTTTGAAAGAGCAAAGTAGAGACTGTGAATCAACCACCATAAGATCAAAACACTTGCCAAAAATAGAGCATCCAGAATCTCTCTAGTATCCAACTCAAACATAGTGGCAACAAGATCAAACTCAGCTCGTCCTATCACAACGAAGTCCATGGCAAGTGAAAACAACAATACCATTAGCCGCTTCCTGGTGATAGCGTAAAGACTTCCATCACAGTGAACCTTGAAGACAAGATTGCATGGCGGTGGACAAGGATGTAAAGCGGATTGTACTGAGCTAAAGAGGCAGGGAGCCGAGGAAGAGAGAACGGGTCCAAGAGAAATGATGGTCCGAACCGAGCCACCACTCACCGAGGAGAACATCGAAAAGTCCACCGCACCCGACTGGATAAGACTTCTCCTTCACCGATCTGGCGACTTACCCAATAGCAGATCTACCGCTAGAGGAAGACAAAAGGGAAAAGCAGAGAATGGCCTCATTCCGAAGAAGGGCCACCAGATTGGGGGAATCAATCACACCACAAGATGGATTGAGACTACCAGATCGCAAATCTCCAGCTCCCAAGAAGCGCAAGCCCAATAACCGAACCGAAGAGCACCTGCTCAACTTGAAATGGAAGAAATATGAAGGCCGCAACGTGTGAAAAAATGAAAACGAACCTGGAAATCCGAGGCAAAAATGCCCAGAACAGCGGCAAAAGAAGTGCGAGCAAGAAAGGAAGAAGAAATGAGCAATAGTTGGGCTGTCATCGGTCACCAAAAGGAACCGACGACAACCCCTGAAAGCGGAACCTAGATCTGAAAGATAGAGAGAAAGGGAGCGCTATTTTGAAAATAAAGTTAACTTAAAAGTGTTTAGAATCCTATTTTCTTGAGTTTGATCTCTTAGGACCCTTAATTTTACAAAGGCTAGATTATATTAAATTACATTACATTACATTACAGTGTTATGACTAACTTTAGTGATGCAAAGCCAAAATTGGGTTATATTGGTTATGTGATTCAGATTTAGTCAGTTTAATCAACCAATCTATACACTTTAGTTTTGAAAATACTAAATTCAAAATCACTCAAATTAGAACCTACTGTAAGTTTATAATTGGATCGGGTGGACTATACATTGAAGTAATGAACTAAGCCAACACAAAAAAAAAAATATAACTATTTTGCACTAGTATAAGGAATGGAGAAATGATAGGATATAAAATTCAAAACTGCAAAACCTACAAATTTATGTGTCTTACCATACCCAATACAAATCATACCACCTTGATAAAATTAAGGGGTGGTATGATCCATTTAAGGGATGGTAAGACATGAGT